TTTGAAACTAACTGTAATCTTTACACTAAATTGATGAGTTTTTTAAATTATAGAATGAAAGCAAATACAGGTGTTAGTAATAATAAAAAACTCTTAATATTGATATTGACATTAACATCATATTGTAAAAAGAAATAAATGTAATTTAATGGTTTCTAAATTTTGCTTATTTAAATTCATAATTTGCATCAGGCTGCTTTCAGATAGAAATTAGTTTAGTAAAAAATGTGGAAAACCCTTTATGTGAAATATGCATAATAGTTAATAACTAAAAAATATCTTCAGTGAAATGTCTACACAGAAATATTAAAACTAATACTAAAAAACATTGTATTACACTAAAAGTCAATTTTTAAAAGGAAATGTTATCCCTAGTTCCTAGGCAGTACTGACTGCACCTTCTATCACTTCTTAGAAGATTTCATAATTGGCAGGTTTAAGGCTCTTTTAGTCATTTCTTTTCATTAGCTGAAAGAATACAAGCTGCTTTCTTTTTTTCCTTTTTAGTTTGTTTATGCTTTTCAACGTTAACCTTGAGTATCCAGGTTATGATGTGGGCTAAAGGCAATAAAACTGCCAAAAAGATCAATTCTGTGATCTGATTTTATCTCAAAAGGTTACCATTTCAAGTCAGTTCCATAGAGATTAAACCTAGTGTAGGTAAATGGGCATACTGCTACAAAATAAATACCAGAATTTTCTCTTACAGGAGTTCCTCATGCTCCATTAGACCTATGTGTTTTAATCTTAATGCGGTCCATCTGAGCTGTGGTTTTCAGCTGCATCCCCGAGAGCTCTTGACTTTGCAAGGTGCATTAGTAGCAACCTTTTTCCAGTTACCAGAGCTCTGTTTTGCACACTGAGCTTACGCACCTGGAAAAATACCACAAAGACTGACCAGCACAGGAAGAGTTGCATTTTTCTACCTACAAATATTTATTAAAGGAGTTTTAGTTTATAAACTATAGTTTTAGTTTAGTTTTACTGGGCATAAAAATACATACACACAAAAAACAGCCCAAGAATGGCAAACACCTAACAAACCAAAACAAACCAAGAAGAGATTCAGCAGGGAAATCAAACCCTCAGTAACACAACACCTTTATTTTTCTGGTACTAAGTTACCAATCTGAAATTAGGGAGAGAGAAAACTGATTGCAAACACAACACTGGATTAAAGCAGAAATCACCAAAGTGTACCAGGCTGTGGGAGAGAGGAAGCCTAACAGAACAAAGGTGTACCCAGTGCCTTAGTGAGATATGTCTGAAACAAGAATAGAACAATAAATACACTGAAAGGGTAGACAGTATCACTGCTGCCATTTCCCTCTTCTTGGAAGATAAAGAAGAAATACAATATGTCTTAAAGACAAACTGTAGGGCAAAGAGACAAATACCAAACACGTTGCTAGAGAAATATTTCCAAAATTCAGAACTCTAAAGCCAGAGTACATTTGAACAAGCCCAGTGATGTTAAACATCCTGGTCTGCCAGATATTCCAGATTCACAAACCTCTCTTTCCAACCTCCAGAGCAATCCCTAAGGACAGAGTTGAGTGGAAATGGCCAGCCTTAAGCACAGTCCCTGAACAGGAGCAGCTGTATTGGATGTTCATGCTGATGTGGTACATTACGGTCAGACGTGGCCTGTGTTTCTCATGCACAGGAGTAAGAGCATCCACTATTTCTAACTTTCTGTGTAGGCTTCCAGTTTCATGGGATATACCCTAAGGTGTAAACAGGCAGCAGCTGGGCAGGGAGTGGGAGGGAAAGATCAGGGTAGAGTTTGACTCAGCCATCCCCTACTCACTGACTCATGTGCTGGTGTAGAAGAAACTGCTATAATTTGTTGCTGGTTGGAGTCAGTTAAAAGTTACCTCTGATACAGAGAAGAAGTGAAGACTCTCAAAAGAATGCTAAGGTTGATATGCTTTCTGTGCTTTTAAGTAATATTTTTGGGGTCAAGGATGTTTTCTGTGCCTGTCTTTTAAAAGACTCAAATTAAAACCTAGGAGGCTTGGGGGCTTTCCTGTAAATTATTTCCCAGCACTCTTGTTGTACTTAGAAGGAAATCAACTATTAAAATGCTCTTGGTTTTTATTTTTTTTAGTCTTTTTTAAAAAGAAGAGACAGTAACAACAAAACAGCTGAAAGTTACATTTCCATCAGCAGTGAAACATTTTTGTAGCCTTGCTATATATATGCCACTGCTAGTCAGTGGCTGTTTCATCACAACTAAACTTTATAGGATATTTACCATCCTTACTTATATTAGAGTTTAATTATCAGGAGGCTTATTAAACTTAAATTTTCTCTAACTACTTGGCCAAGAGAACTGCAATGAATATTTTATCCCACCTATTCATTACTTAAACAGCAGTGCAAGTATAAGAGAACAGCAGAATTACCTGTAGAGAAAGCCAAACTTTCATCCTTATTTCTCACTAAATGTCCTATTCAGTTCTGGAAGAGTTTAGATGAAACACAGCTCCCATTTACAAGTGACTGTATCCTTATCACTGGTGCTCCACCTTCCCACAGTCTTATGATTCACACACAGTGTATTTTCTCCCCAGTTTCAACATCCATCAATTAATAAAACTAGATTCCATTTAACCAATCAAATGCATTAAAGCAATAAAGGGAAACTTCTCATTTCAAGTTCTCATTGAACGAAAAAAAAAAAACAAAACCCCAGAACATTTTGAATACAACAAAACCAGAGTTTTAAAGACCTTTTAAAGAATTGATCTTTGAGACAATTCTGCCAAATAAATCACTCAGCAAAATGATGTAAATTCATTAGATACTAACAGAAAATCACACAAATACGTAAAATAAGATTTGTCTATATCATCACCATCATCTCTCCTAAACTCCCCATCCTCATGGGATCACCAAGAGCCTTGTAGCTTCTCCTTAGGCTATGCTTCCACCTTATCTTACCATCTGTCCTCCTCTGAAAACTCTGATATTTTTGAATGACCATCTTTGCTTTACACAAAGACCTATGTTTAGATCACAATTCCAGAACCCTTGGTGTGATTTTAGAAGCTCACAGGTATACTCTGTGGATCAATGCTGAGGCTGAGATGTGGCATCTGATTTTCTAATTTATTTGAGGTATTTAAATCAATGTTGTGCACACCTGTATATTTGCGAAATGCTACAGTCCAGAAACTGAACTTTAATTTTGCTTTTTTTTCACTCCAACTAAATTCATAAGCACCTAATAATTCAGTAAAGATCAGTTTATCCTGGTTCTATCTTTCAGTATTGTTAACACTCAGGAGAGTGCCTTTTGCTGTTTGTGGAAATGCTTAAACACTTTGCTGAAAATCTGTTGTGAGTTGCACCACTATAAGCAGCCCTTGGGGTTCTCCAGATAAATGGAAACTGTCTCCTCTCTGAGTATTGCTATTTTGCTTAACATTCATCTGAAACTTGGAAATTAATTTTTTTTACAATACTTTAGAAGTAACCACTAGCTCCTCATGGTTTTTTTTAAATCAAAAAAGTCATTAGGATTGAGAAGAAATGTTTGAGATTTAAACCTGTTATGCTTTAAGAGTCAAAGAATAAAAATTTGAACCGTCCATATGTTATTCAAGAGAGAAGGACAGGTGAGAATCTCAGTTGAGACAAAGCAAGCCATTTACAATCACCCATGAAGTCCAGTTTATATAAACAAAAGAGAAGTCAGATCACTGAAGCATTCCCATAGCATTCCCTGCCCTCAGAGCTACTCTTCCAGCTCTCTCAGTCTTCCCATCTGTGTTACATCCCTTGAAGGGCAAAGCGTTACCTCCTGCTATTACAATTCGGATTCTAACTTGAGGTTGGAAGCAAATGTTATTCGTGCATTTTGTTTCCATAAAAAAGCTAAATAACTTTCTGCAGCTGCCCCAACTAAATACTGGGAATTAAATCCACCTGTCCACGATAAATTCAGCCTACCTATAGCAAGATTCAATGCACTGATAGAGCTATTACTTTTTTATTACAAGTCCTTTTAGCTCCCCTGTCCTTTTGCATTTGAACCATCAGGCTGGTGCAGTGCTGTGATGCAGTCTTGGCTCTACAGGCTCAGACATCCAGTTCCTGGAACACTACTGGGAACCTTGTGTATGGCACACATGCCAAGCAGAGGGAAAGTGTGCAGGGCTGTAACCAGTTCCCTTGGTAACCAAGTGGTATTTAAAAAGAGAAAGTGGTACCATCGTGTTAAGTAAATAAATGCACACAATAAAGGCCCACACATGAGTAACTTTCCTAGATACTGCTGACAATAGGGAGCAGCAGAACATGTAAATTCATCTGCCTTGGACTTGTGAGGAAACAGAAAAAATTCTCCCCAATTAGATGGTCAAATAATGCCCTCATTCACAAGTTCCTTTTAGGCAGCCAGGAGCACTCTGCCTCTCAGCCCTTTTCCTCTTACCTCACCACTACTTTCCCAACTCTCTTTCACATTACAAACAGCTCCTGAGCAACAGGAGGTTTGCAGAGAATGAGTCACTCTCATATGGCTGATGGGCTGAGTGCAGGATGGAGATTAGTGACCTGACAATGCACAGCCCAGAGCCACTGTGCTTCCAGAAAGCCAAAGTGATCACTGAATGCAGCAAAACTTAATATATTGTAAGTGCTTTAAAAACATATAATTGTAAGTCATGCCTTATAATTCTCACAGGCAGATATGCGAGCCTACAAAGAACACTGCTGTATGTTAGATGCAAAGGTGACATATGACACTAAGTATTCCACACCAATAGGGTATTCCCTTAAAGTTAATTAAACATTAATTAAATTAGATTTTATTTAGATCGTAATATGAAATCCTTGTGCTTTGGACTGATAGTAAAAAATTTTGGGAACCACACAAGGTCAGTCAGTTCCCAATGTAAGCAAGAGATTTTGACATAACTGGGAGCGTATCTCAAAACCAGGCTTCCTTCTGACTGAGTTTTTAGTTTTCTTTTTTTTTTTCCCCTTTAACAGAATAACGGAAAAGAGAAAATTTATCTGGCAAAGGACTCAGGAGTTTATCTGGACCACTCCCGTATCTCCAGGGAGGATTCACTTCTACTTCAGATCTGATACAGGTTTGTGTGCCTCAGCCTTGTCCGATTATTTTCCCAGCAGTATTTGTATCAGCCATTTTGATGGTTCATTTATCACTGTTATCTCAGTAAAAACTCCTAGGGCACCAGGCAGAGCCATTAATCCTCACAGTATGCTTTGCAGGACTTACTGGTGGGGCCCCTAATGAGGACTGCCCAAAGCTTATCTGCAGCACAGACCCCTCAGTCGTGAATCAGCTGAGACACCACAGAGTCTACAAAAGAAAGAGCTGTGACTCGTGAATATGAAGAATCTTGGTGCCTGCATGAAACCTTAGAAGGAAGCTCTTCAGGTTATCCATAAAGTCCTAGAGTGGCTGAATATCCACAGAGAAATTGAGTACAGAAATGAACAGAAGTGTTTTCCTTCCTAGAGTTTGGTACAAACCAAACCTGCTCTACGAAAGTGTCTATGAGACCTTTCACAAAGTACATTTTAACCTGTTCATTGCCTATTCTCTTTATAACTGAGTTGATTCAGTTTCCTAGTCTTAATTAGCACGAACTTGATAAAAACAATTTATAATATACTCATAAAAATATTCAAATTTGCAGTACCTGCTGTCTTGGAATATTTAAATGAACTGAGACAAGAACTATCAGAAAGACAAACTACAGTGTTATTGGGAAAACAGATTTTGAAGCCTGATTTCAGAATTTCAAATGGAAGAAAAAATTACAGAATTAATTCAGCCTAAATGTACAGACCACATTTCCATTTTTCCAGATTTCAAGTAAAAACAACTATCAGCTGGTGAGTAATACGCCGAATAGCAGTTCTGAGATTACTTTCACATTATTAAAAATAAAACCTGTTAGATGCTCAGACTTCTCACAGGCAATTCCAAATCAAAAAGTGAAAGAAATAATAAACTGTGAGTATTGATGCACTACAAAATCATAACAGTTACTAACACAAGACTTTGTTATTCTATTTAAGAGCCTGACTAATTCTACAAATGTGTATACATGAGTGTACATGACCATCAGGGCTCAGCGAGAGATGCTTGACATCAGATCATTCTCCAGTGTCCTGAAAACAAAAACATCCTGGTCTAAGATTAGTAGGTTATCAATTTAAATGGCTAAATGAAGGCTAAATTTCAAATAAAAAACTGGAACATAAACAAACCAATCCTTGATATGATTCAAAAAACTTGTAATGGTTTAAGAAACTAAACTATGAAATAATATAGCTACACAACACAATAAGTCATTTAATGACATTTTGGCCTTAGTGTGTGTTTCAAGCTGCAGTTCATTTGAAAAAAAAACAACTTTTACCTGAATTAATTTGGTTTTTTATCAATGTCTGCTAAATCAAATTCAGATAAAGTATATATTTGGTGATTATGGTAATCTCTCCACACTGCTACATCCAAGTTACACCTGTAAGTAAAATATAATCTTTAATTTACAGAAGAAATAATTTTGTTAACAGTCTCACCTTCTGCAGCATTGCTAATTTTCGAGGTTTTCTTTTGCTCCTATACTGTTTATATAGTCACTAAACACCATCAGAGAGTCTCAAATCTTTTAGGAGTTAAAAGAGCAGCATTCAGCTTCCAATAATGAACTGGTAATTATCACAGCCTCACTAACACTCATCCAACCAAGCATGGTTATAGCAAGTTTATTTTTTACTTTGTGCTCACACAGGGGAGTAAATGTGGTGAAACAAAGTTGATCCATCTTATGGAGCACCTGTCTGGTTGTTTACTCCACTCTTGCATTCTGCTATAATCTTCTTTGGGTGAAGTTCTACCAAATTCACAGCTTCCCTCCAGTAAGTTTTCTGCAGAATTAGGACATCACAAATACCAGGACATCTGAGTTACTGCAAAGTACCACAACTTTTTAGGAATAAATGCAAGTTCTTACTGGTTGCAGCCATTGTGTTGCATTCACGTGCTTACCAGCAGCCATTAGATGTAATGCACCATCTGTGCATGTGTGGATTAACAGCAGTGCTTCTGCCCAGCTTCAAACCAGCATGAGAGAACAGGCTGTAAGTGCTTATTGATGTCCTGACACCGCATAACTATGTTTTATGGCAATACCTCACTTCTATAAACAACCTTCCTAAACAATACCACAACAATAACAAACCCTCTAACACTTTCTGCTAAGCATTTTTTCCTTACTAAGATTCTGACTAACATTTAATGAGATTCAACAGATTTGAAGGGTGTAATTGTGTGAAAAAGCCTCTTTTTCAGAAGTTTGCAGTACCACTTTGTATTGTGGTTTTTTTTTTTTTCTTGTTGGTTTGATTTGGGGAGGGGGGTTGGGAGGGGGTTGTTTTGTGGGTTTTTTTGGTTGGTTGGTTGGGGGGTTTTGTTTGGGTTTTTTTTTGAAAGAATTTCAACTCAGCTTTCAGTTTTGCACATGGAGTTTTACATTTGGAACTAATTACACACATTATATAACTACCCACCTGATGTGCAGGTAGCTCAGAGATTTTGCTTGAATTCAGTAAGATTACTCTCCTATCACTGTAAAGGAAAAGGGGCTAATTTGACACAGGTATTTTACTTGTGAGAAATGCCTTGATGAGTTGCATTTAATCTGAAGAGCTTTCTAATCTTGTAAAGTCAAGGCATTCTGTCAGAGGATATGTCTGAATCACACGTATTTAACTAACACAGCAAAAACGACAGCAACTTCAGGGCTCTGTCTTCAACTTAAGAGAGCAATTATAGTAAAATATTACTGTCACAACTCCTCAGTGTATCAGGCAATGTCTAAGGGGCTTTTAATAGTAGAGTATAGCTCCATTTTACAGCTTTAGGTGTCCTCTGGTGGGACTGGAAACAACAGTCAATGCCCAAAAGGAAAGAACATTTTTGCTTGATTCATATGTGCACTGGGCTCACAAATTTGTCTTCTGTACTACAGAATGAAACAAAGATTTCAGTAAGGGTGCTAAAAGAACTGTATTAGTAATGGCTTGCTTTATCTTTATAATTTGTATGTTAGTTTGCTTGGAAATGAAATGCTTCAAAGCAGGACAAATATTCAGTCCACTGGCTTATTTATTTATAATTATATATTTATTATTATAGAACAAACGCTCATGGTATATTTCTGGCTTTTTTTGTGGTTAGGGTCCCTTAACAGTTTTTGTTAATACTGAGCCTTAACCAATCTACTGGTCTAAAACATCAGCAAAATTCAGAACTACTCTATTTATTTCCTGGTTTGTGGTATTAAAATTGTCAGCAAAAAGCAACCTTTGCAGACTGTACTATGAACTGTCCCATGAGGAACTAAGCCAGTAAGACCTGATTTCATATCCAAAATTGCTCCATCCCTCCCCAGTCACCAAAATACCTCCAGCTTACCTCCCTTACTGTCTTGCAAGGCTTGCTAACCGGTAACACTTTCAGTTCCTGTCACATCCACTTGCTCTTCCTCACCCTTTCTCCTTCCAGTGAGTGGCAGAACAGTCAATGTGGGGAGGTCCCACCATCCCTGTGTACAACCAACTGCAACAACGAAAACCTCCTGAGCTTCTCCTACTGACTTTTCCTCAGCTGGCAGTGGTAAGTGGGGCCTCATCTCCACCTGGCTGCTGATCTGCCCCAGCTTTTAGGAATTTCTATCTATGAGGTCTTCACCACTCTATCAAGTTTAGCAGAATGGAAAAAAGGTAATCACACAAACTCTATTTCCTTGGAAAGGCCAGAGCCTGCACCATTTAAAAGCCTTGCATGTAGACCCCTCTTTCTGGTTTTGCTGCTGTTACTCAGTGTTATGCCTCAGTCACGTCAGGGGCTCTCCATGGAGGACACTGTTCATTTTATGTACAAGTAGTGTAAGAAATCATTCATTCAGGCAATCATTCAGCTTTCCAACAATGCTGATGCTTTTCTTCTTTTTTCTGCATTCAGTCACTCAACTGCCACGAATGAATTAACAACATGAAAAATGTGGGGTGTTTTGAAAGTACAAATAGAAGCATCCACCACAAACATTCATATTGATTTCAGTTCAGAAGAAAATTAAAAATACTTGCCTGAAAATCCAGATGTATGGCCAATAAATAATAATATGTACTCCAAACATATTCCCATTAAGAAAAATCCTACTGAGAAGAGCACGATGGAGCAGTCCAATTCTGTATACTCACAGTACTTTGAATCTTCTTGTAAAAGTCAGTGCAAATGGTCTTCCATCTCTACCACAGACTTGCATCATAAAACAGTAGCTGAAGAATGTTTATTGTTAAGAAGAAATGTAGGCAACTAGATTCTCTTGTGTTCAGTTTGATGACAGATTTCAAGGGTAATTTGAAATTTGTTTTCTAATACCTCTTTCAAAAGTGTACACTTGAGGGTACACATGAAGACATGGACATACAACAATTGATTAAAGCAATCTATATTTAGTTTCTGTAACAGCATTTAATGAGCCACTGGTAACTTACTGTCTCCCAACCTTATGCATATCAGTCACTACTGTATTTTTTTCCTTTTGTTTTTAGAATGTTTCAAGCATTTTAAAATCCCTAGGGGAAAAATAAAATTGGATAGCTCATATACAAGAGATCTTTAACTGAAAAAAAAAAAAAAAAAAGGCTGTGGCTTCCGAGTCACTTCCCTTTGCAGCAGTTGAAGATCTGCCTAAGAATTTAAACAGCAAACATACCAATCTTCAAGCAGTATTATGAAGAGCTTTTTAATTTCTTAAGTCAGAGTAACTGGTGTGGAAAAAAGAAACTGGGGAAAGATAAAGAACCCTGAGCAATAAATTACTTGTAACATCTTTTCTCCAGTTTCATGCCCCACAAACTCTCCAGTGGAAAAGAAGGAGTGAGAACTAGTGATGGTTCATTGATTATTCCCTGCAGATAGCACCCAAAAGTGATAATTTCTTTAGGACAGCAGTTCAAAGATAACCCAGCCACAGGTCCATACTGACTCACACACACAACAGACATCACAGCAAGGCAAAAGTAAACCAAAGGTGGATAATTATGTCACCTGTTATGTGCTGTGCAGCGAGATGTGGGATCCTTTCCTAAGAAACCTACGCAGAAATGAAACAACCAGCCTCTGGAGGGACACCTGTACAGAAAACCTGTAGCAGAAAACTCCTACATAGATGTTTAAGGGCTTCTAATGCAGAGAAAGGCTCATAATAAGTAATTTTGTGATAACTTTAGAGTTTTATAGAAAAGTAAATTAGCTTAAAAATTCAAATCAAAATCTCCTTTAAATTTTATCAGGTATTATCTTTTGGAGTTTGTTCTTGGAAGTGAATAAATATTTCATAGTTATTTATTACAAAGAATATCGGCTATGAAATCTACACCTTAGTCAGTGCTTGAGTATTTATCACACTGCATTTCCTCCTGTTACACAAAAAAAGACAGGCCAAAATGTATTTCAACCCATTTATCTTTAGGGGGCAAACACTGAGCCTCAGGCTTGGATGTTATATTTTTTAACCTGTGAATGTCCAAGCAAAACCTCCTAAGATCAACAAGAGAGTAAATGTGCTTCGGCAGTAAGTTTTTTATAGTGAGATTGGCAGTGAGATTCCCAGTATTGCTTCTGTTTGCAGTCCTTGGAAGTATTTAACTTCCATCCAATTGGGCACAAATTCTGAACAATGAGACACCCCAACTCATAGTGTGTAGAATGCAGATAAATGTCTGTCTTGTTTGTTCAGCCTGTTAGCTTACAGGGACAGGGAGCATCTCTTGTGATATTTGTAGATGATCAAGTAGAAGAGACTCTGAACTCTACTGTTATACCAAACACTGAGAGTTCTAATGTGGATTTGATGTTCCTTTCAAGCAAATACGGAAATTAAAGGAACACCCAAAGCTCTATCTCAGCCACATTAATCCTGTGAAAGCAGTGACTCACCTAGTAATGGCTTTCCATAAATTAGGCAGCTAAAAATGGGTAGGAAGCGTGAAACCATTAACAGTTCCTGTAGTGTAAATTCTCTCACTGCATGTGAAGAAAATCCATGGCAGTAAAAATAAAAGAGATGAAGGTGTCAGCACCCATCATGTTTAGATCTGCTGTTAGTAATTCAAATCTTCCTCCTTTGGAGCGTATGGTTTTAGAATGAATCATTCTCTATTTCCTTTCTCAAATGAAAACTGAGGTTCTGTTGCTCACTAATTCCATATGTTTTCTTCCCAGCTATGAAAAGAGAAGAAATCAGTGTGGCCAATTGCATGTGCTGACAGCATCACCTCACAGGAGTACCCTACTGCAGCAATGTCTGCTGTGCTGTCATCTTCCACACCTCAGCACTGAGATGGAAATGATTGATGGTAACATTGACAATATACAAAAGGAAAGCCATACACAGCTTTGTGAAACAGAAAGAGGTGGAAGAGAAGGAGTCACTGCACTTTTGTACCCAGGAATGACCTTTGGGAGTCCAACTCCTTTTCACTGCACAGAGCAGGTCAGTAGCTCTGGGTCTGGCATGAACAGCATGTGCCAAAAGGCACCACTGGGATTGCTGCTTTGTACAAGTGGAACATGATAAAGTAAAGCCTGAAAACTGAAATTTTAAGACTGGTATATAAACTTAGCTGCTGAACTAAGATGGGATGGTTAAAAATAACAAACAAAAAACCCAACCCAAAAAACCCAACAGTGGTGCCAGACATAAAGTGCACAATTTTCTCATGACACAGAAAGGACTAAAACAGACCTATTCTGGAAGAAAAGGTGGGAATGTCGTGGGCTCCCACTGAGAGCTGGCAAAAGCCTCAACACTATAACAGTTCTTGACATACTGCCTAAGTCACCCAATGGCAGCTCTCCAGTTACTCCACTGAAATTTTGTTGACATCCTACTATCTACAATTCTGAATGTCAAATATTTAGCTCAAGGTCTCTTATCCTCTCATTTCCAGAGTAATAACATTTCTGATCAAATTGCAGCACCTACTTCCCATAACATTTGGTTTTTGGTCTATACTATACTGAACTACACAAGACCTTAAGAGAATAGAAGCTAGTAATGCTTTGCTGTGAATAACTGAATTTTGTACTCATGTTGCTCCATTCCTTCTGGACCATGCAACCCCTGGAATCTATTCCTTTACATAATTCCTTCTTGTCACAGGGACAGTCAAGAGAGACTATTGCTCTTGCAGTTGCTTTAAAACAAGAAGAAAAAAATTCTAGTTTGAAGTGAAACTGTCTAACAAAAAGAAGGGTTTACAATTTTATTTTTAATTAAGTGAACTATATTTAATTTGAAGTTGCCTGTGAGCTGGAAGCAACACAGATTCCCCCATCAGTTTAGCCACTTCTTGGAACAGCACAGGAGCACATACAAAGCACAGGCAGCATTAATGAGGAGAGAGGGCTGGGAGACAAGGATTTACCAGGGCCTTAATCCATATCTCACCCCATCTGGTAATGACCCCACTTTCACAGCACAGAGTCACAGACAAAGCACTATAAATGCACTCCAGTATTGCTTAGCTCTCCATCAGATCACTAATACAGAGGTTACCCACACAGGCAAACTTCTTTCTTGTCACTATACAGATCTACTGCCTTTATCAAAACAAACTTCTGTAGGGAGAAAGACAAGAGGGACAGGTTGTTTCTTAAAAACTGTGAAAAGGCAAGTGAGGAACTGACCCAAGACAGAGGGCAAGCAGGTGTTGCTAAGAAGGAAAGGCACAGATGTTGGGTTCTCTCTCCATGTAGACATCAGTGTCCATCCAGGAAACAATCAGCAGGCTTGTGGAGAGTCAGCTGCTCAAATATACAGAGAAATAAACCAGAGGGGTGAGGAGCCACTTCTACAGATGTGTGGCTGAGTCCCTCACTAGATCCAGTACTTACTTTGTAGTTAGTGCAGGTAACTCCATGTGCATGTAAAGCACTGGCACAATTCCCTTGGGACTCCTCTTTTGTGGTGAGCCCCAAGGAAGGATGGGTGTCCAGATGGGAGAAGTGAGGGGCACCTTCTGCTCTGCCACAGAAGCCCAGCATAGCCTTGGACAGAGTCACCTCATCCCAGCTTCCTGAGAGGCGTTTCAAACTTCTGATCCCCACTGATGTGCATGTCACTGAGAGGGAGATCTTTGGGGGTCTTTGTACCTCAGCTTTAGTTCTCTGTTTCTGTGTGATTGTGAGGCATCAAACGCTGCAGCAGTGCAGAAGGCACACAGATACCTATAGCAGGTGGTCTTTGTAACAGTAACCTGAACAAAAGTTTGTCTAGAGCTCTACACCCATGAACAATTCCCAGCTCACCAGCTTTTTTTTCTGTGATAAACTCCATATATTTTCGACCCTAGCAGGACCTACTTGGACTATTAAAGTGACTTTAAGAGTTATTACAATTACATCAGTCTTGTGTCAGTCTGAGAGGGTCTGGTTGCAGTACAGGGTGCATTAGGCTGTAGTCACCAGCACAGAGCACTGCAATAGAGCAGGAATTCAGGACTGCAATTCCAAGGCTACCTTGACACCACATAAGTGGAGGCTGCACTAGACATGAGGAAAAAATCCCTATTCCCACTAATAGCCCTTTAGCTACAACATATAATCTCAAGTACTTAGCTAGTCATCTAACTATCTCCAGCAAAAAAACCCACTCTTTCCTATTTCCCTCTTTTATGTTTGAACCTACTATTTTCTCCAGGTATTTTTTTACCTTGTCATAATCCATTAACTTCATGCGCTTTGATCTTTCCATAGGGAATTTATTTTCTCTCCTCAAAGATCTTTTCTAGTCAGAGGATATTTTTCCCAGTCCATAGCTTCTGCTCCGTTCACATCACAGCATGACTGCTCTTTTTTTTCTGCTTTTTTCTTTTTTTTAACTTGTTAGCAGTTAAGAAATCAAATTTCAAATTAAAAGCAAGCCAGCAAAGTTTATTCCTAATGGCACAAGATATGGCTGAGAAATCTAAAAGACACATATTGTGCACACACTGCTGAAGTAAATTTGCTCCACAAAAGGGTTTGTTTGTTAGTTACAGTAGAGCAGAGATACTCAAAGGTAGTCAGTTAGTCAAAGATCAAAGGTGAGGAAAGAGGCAAAAAAGAAAGAGCAAGGCAGAGATGGTTATGATTTACCACAGTAACCCACTTTACATGCACCTCACTGGATCAGTACATCTTCTGTTCCACCAGGGTCATGGTATTAAAACATGTTGCTCCCCTGTTTCTCTCACCACTTAACTGGTACTTATTACCAAACATCAGCACATTTACAGGGGTGAAAATGAACAGCACAAGCCACTACCCTGGAGCCACTTTCCCAGCCAAACACTGGGTAAGGGTTCTTTCTTACAGTCTGGTTTTTTCCCCAATACTTTGACAGAAAAAAACATTCCAGAAGAGGACCAGAGTCCTAATTTCTTTTAAAACATCAGTTTCTGGAACATCATGATGGAGACAAAATCCCACACTAACTCAATCCTGTGAAATAATTTTGGAGGACATCAGCAAAGGGAAGACATTCATTAAAGCCCTGAGACAATCATAAGCATGTAAGAGAACTCCATAAATCATTTTTACTCATTTATGCTACTGAATATAAACCAGGATGCTCTATCTTCTCTCTTAATTCCCATTAACAATTGTTAATTCTGAAGGAAAAAAAATCCATTAAATACATGCTATACAGCTATATTTGCCTTAGTTCTCCAAGATTTTAATTCTTCTCTGGTTCATTTGTCAATATTTACACAGTGTAAATCTGTGCAGTGCTGAGGTTGCCAGTATTCCAAGAATCATTTTTCTTTCCTTACACATATATCACAGATCTGGGACAAGGAGGAAAGAGAAAGATGCTGGATGCATCCTCTTCTACCCAGTGTGGTATTACACAGCCCATGACCTTCACCTTTCCTGAACAGGTCTAGTTGCTGGGCAGCAATAGCCACACACTGTCCTTCTACGAAATGTATTCTCAATTTCTCTGATGCTGTAGACACACGACTTAAAATAGTCATTAACTGGTTTGTTGCCATTAAACTTGCTGTGAAGGACACCTCCTCACAGAGAGGAGGAGCACCAACAACACATCCTCTGTAAAGCACAGCACGACTGACAAGAAACAAGTACTCTTCAAACTGGGACAACAGCCACCCCGGTGAGCTGGAGACGAGGCCCCAAAAACAAGATTCTGGGTTCCAACATTTGAATTTGTCAAACAGCTTCTCCATTTCAGATAGTCCGAACAATAAGCAAAACAAATTGCCTATCCCAAAACAACCCATCTAATGCACACATGTGCAAAAAATACCAGCCTCTCGGGGCTCTATTTCTAAAGACAGAGCAAAACACTGAGTTGTCAAATAGAACATGCTTTGCATCATAATGCTCATATGCAGAACAGCTCTTGGACAGCATTATGGAAACTTCTAAACTGAGCTTTCTTTATACACATTTGCACAAGGCAACTGTCATTGTAAACATCAGCAATTGGGAAAAAAAAAATCTGCATGCTCTTAGGCAGAGGTGTTTGTTCCTGTGCTAAGTATCTTCTCACCCAAAAACTTCACACTTCTTGTGGAGTATTAATATCTTCTCTCCTAATCCTTCTAAGGTCAACTTACTTGTCCTTTTGATTTCTGAGTTAAGCTTCCTGAGCATGTATCTGAATACACCCAAGAGCAAGTTCTATACAAAATCTCTCTTGTACTTGGAAATACAAAATATACTACCTGCTGGGAAAGTAAAGGCTCCTCAAGAAGAACCTGTTTTGGTTATGGCAGTAACTATAAGGAATTCCCAGTTCCAAACATCCCCCATTACTTGGGCAGTGGTCTAGTGATTGACTAAACAAAGTCCTTGAATGTTTTTTTTAATTTTTTTCCCCCCCTCTTCTTCCCTTAGTTCCACTTTGCAGACAGGAAGACTAGTATTGTGTTGTTTGGTAGGTCTGTTGAGAGGTCACACCACTTCTCATGTGCCTGGCATAAATGCTGAGGCACCCAGGGTGATGTCGAGGTTAGAGTAAAAGAAGCCTTATCCATCTTGACAATTCTCAGTTTTCTATACTGTTCCTGAAAGGAGGATTTACAAGGTTGGAGCTTGGCAGAACAAAAAAAAAAAAAAAAAAAGGATTCCATAAGAGAGAGTAAAGGCCCTCACCTAAATTCCTCACATATTCTAAATTAATTTTCTTCTGACCTCAGCCTACAACCAGTCTTTTCTGTTACCAAAGAATGAGCCAAGTTTGCCTACTTTATTTATTCTTTCAAAGAGACAGCCAAGAAGAATAAATGCAGATTAATCTACTTTGACCAAATTAAAGGAAATTGTAGCTCACAGCAGAGGGATTCCCTTTGTTTGTTTGACAACACAAGGGAATTACTGCAGTGCTGTCTCCTGTCACCACTGACAGGCTGGTTGATTTGTTTCTGTTGCTCGAGTTCCAAAATGCACGTTACCATCACAGCACAGATTCAAAGCAAGGCCATTTCCACAGGGAGTTAGGCTAGGTAGGAGCCCTCTCTCACTGGGAGCTGTAAGTGATGCTTGCTGGTTGATGAATCTATAATCAACATGTAATCAAGCTACCTCAGGAAGGGAAAAGTCTCAAATACAAGTCCCATTCACCAGGGAAGTGGCAGGAGAAGGCAGGTTTCGAGAAAGACCATCTGCAGGTTAACAAGGGACCACAGTGAAAACAACAGAACTGTATTCAGTGAGTGAGTCACTGCCTGAGACACCTGGCTGAGAGACTCTTCTGTGACTGTGCTGTCAGGAGAGGGAATGCTGGCTCAGTGCAGCAGCCTGCAAGTGTAAACACCTATATTTGTCTCCTCCATACCCTCACCAAGTTGCTACCTCCTGTCTGCTGCTCACAATACCTCCCCACTACCCGTCAAATAAGAAGAGTTTCTCATTTTTTATCCTAAATCCTAGATGATAATTTTTTTAATGAGAGGAAGCAATCTTTATCAAGTACCTTCCTTCATTATTTACATGCAAAATCCCACAAGCAACCTGCACGCTCAGTTTCAAAGCAAAACAAAGGTAATAGAAACAAACATAAGCCTTTGTGAAAAATCCTTTGCTTAAGGGAGTTTTGCAAATGGTTACATATATCCAAACACTAAAGCACAACTACTCTGGTCCAGTTTATGGAAACAGCTGCCTTTACTGTAAGTAGACAAGCAGTGCTAGAACAAACACAGACACAAGCACCACCACCAAGCTACCAAAAAAAAAAAAGAAAAAAAAAAAAGTGAAGTTTTAAATTAAATGAACTTTTAGCTAGTCACTGGTTAGGTTTTGTTGAACGTTTAATGTTTTATAATATTTGGGGATTTTTCAGGTTCACTCAGCAGAGTAAGTAATGCTTAATTCATTGGGAGTTAAGTTACCGTCTGAACTAATTTTTGCTACTTTCTTTTAATGTTTCCCTTCAAGTTATGCAATGCTACTGCAGCATCTCAAAGTGAAAGTACCTTGTACAGAATGATTTAGCTCTGAGCTGAGCCTGATCCACACTCAGTAGCCGTGTTGCCTCTGAGGATTTTGGATTTAGCTTCCTAGACAGCTATGACCTCTTGGACTCCTTTTGCCTTTGCTAGGTAGCACTTAAACTTCTACACAACTTCAGTATTAGCAACCATTCAGTGCAATCAAACATAAGGTTTCTGGAGTTCTTTCACTTGCTACAAGATCTACAGATTCCTCCAAGACTGCAGCAAGTTACTCAGAAATCTTGCTACCCCTTGTTCACTGAGAGCACACAGGAACGAGGGTATTTTTGAGAAGAACTCTGCTCTTCTCTCTGGGTTCATTGCTTCCTTCTCCAAGGTGCAGACCCTCTCTTGATTCTTACACACAGACACACACACTCTGACTTGTTCTTTTCTCTGCCCAAATATATAGTGTTTGACTCTGCAAATGTTCTGTTTTAGTCCAAGTGCCTTCTTTCTGCATGGCAGTTTCACCATCCAGCCTGCTCATGAAACAGGAGGGGCTGGGAGGGGCAGCTCAGGACTGAACACAGTATTTCTAAAACTGTGGTGGTGAAGGAGCTCTTCAGCAAACAGCTATCTGGGAGTCAGCAACAAGAAAAATACCGACTTCCACAGTTCACAACTCTGTCTTTGCCAGGTGGGGGTTAAACAACAAAAGCACCTGTCAGCTGTGATTTCTGTTAGGAGATCATTCTACTGCTAAAACATCTCAGTCTCTGCACAGAACTTAATCAAATCTGCTCATTCTCCCCTAGAGTCAACTGCCTAGAACTGATTGCCACTACAAGGGCAATGAACATGCTGGTGGAAAGGTCTTTGCTTTAACATTGCTGCTGAAGCCACACATCAGTTATGAAGATGAAAGACGAGACTCTGTTGCTTCATGTTGATAAAGCAATTGAGACTGACATGAAAAATGTGTCATGAAAAATGCCAAGATATGGGGCATATTCTGCCTTTCCATTCCCTTCTCCCAGTCTTCCTAAAATGCTCAGTGCAAAGAAAAAAGCATCAAGGTGTTAAGTGACTTGGTATATTTTTGTATTTATACCATCTAGTAAACGAAATTGCTGAAAAATGTCACGGTGTGATCTTCATGCGTGTGTGGGAGACAATATCTCAGCTGTCAGGGAATGACTGTACAGCTCCCTGCTGGAAAGAAGAAGTCAAACATTTCACAGACTTTTATAGGCTGGTGGGATCTCTGCTAAACACTTGGGATATCCAGACTTGATTGCTTCCAGGAAGATATCTGCTGATTCATCCTGGCAGTACCCACTCTCAAGCTGAGCTCTCCCCAGATCCCAATCAGCAGAAAGTCTTTCAACCACAGTGCTGACGCCAGCTCAGAGAATTCTGCCTTGAAATCCTTGGGAAAGCCGGTGGGCAAAAAGTCATCATCAAACCTCAGTCAGCTTTTGAAGTAGAAGAAACAACCCCCATGCCCAGAGCCTTCTGGAAGGACTGTTCTGTCAGTGCACTTGTGATGTTTTTGCTGCTATTGATTAAAGCTCTTTGTTCCTTTGCTTCCCTTCCCCTTTCCACACCCGAATTGCCACCACGGGTGGAGGTGCTGGATGACAGGTGTTCTCTCTGTGCACACACTGGAAATGGATGCTACTGGAGACACATGAAGGAAAGAGAAGGGGGAACCATTCAGAGCTATCAGCAAACCTACCTGGAGTCCAGGAAGATTTCCCTCAGATCTACCTAAAAGAGTGAGGGACAGAGAAGGACAGAGAGGGGGTGAGAGAGTTTCGTCTCTTTTTTTCGATGTGGTTCAGGATCTTTGAGAGCAGTAAGAAATGTACAGGCTTAGAATTCCCCTGTAAACTCCAAAATAATTTACAGAACACTAAGTCATGCAATAGTCTGTGTCGACAGCTGGTGGGTAAGAGCAGATCAGGTTTGTTCTTTCAAGCAGCAGTGCCCTTTGCCTTACTGAGGCACACTGTAATTAAGGCCCTGCGTAGGGCCAGGTTCACTAGCACGATAAAGAGGAGTTATTTTTGTATGTGAATTCAAATGAACAAATGCAACTTCTAACCATTAACCTCTTGAAGTAGATAACAAGTGGGTTTAGGGATAATTACTGATTTTCATAGTTTCTAGGAAAGCTTTATCAGGACCCTTATGTTTTGAAAACTCTGACACGTCGCGTGATCCAGGACGTCAGTGTCTAAAAAGGCAATGAGTGCATTACGACAGCCCCCTCATCCCAGAGCCAGCTCCCCTGCCTTTCTGTGTGTGCAGAGGAGATGCTGAGAAGCCTAGGGAGCCAGTTCCCAAGTCTCCTCCCTCCCTTGCTCGTACATAGGCAACCACATTTCAGTAGAGCTGAGTACTTTGGGTGGATCGCTCAGTTTGCAGGTTCAGAGACTGATTCCAGCAAGAACTGGAGTTTGCAAGACTCACTGAGAAAACTTGCTCCTCACCTCTCCTCCAGAGGTACATGAAGTCTAGCATGAGAAAGGACAGCTGGAGAGGCAGGGAAGACGCTGGGCTAAGGATCCATCCTGCTTCTGACAGCCCAGAAACAAGAGGAACCTGTTACCAGCATGGACATCGGGAGCCTACTCTGCTGAGTGAGCTCCTGCACAGCTCCACAGACCAGGATCCACCTCCACAGCCGTGCCCTGATGCAACACAGTCCTTTGTGCTGATCCAACAGCCAACATTTTGGTGAATAAACCAGGGATTAAACCCACCATTTCCAGAAGTTACAAACTCAGCTGCAAAAGCCACAGCTCTGTAGCAGTGGGTTACAACTCCTGCCGTGGCCAGCACATCACTCCCTGCTAACCTTAACTTGATATAAGCTCATATAATTTTATTTAAATGATCACTGCACTACTGAGGCAGCATTTACAGGGGAACAGAACAATAGCTTTTTCTAAGCTACCAAGCTCTTGCAAGACATGATGTAGGGAGATGGGAGCTGACACCAAGCTAGAGCAGATGGCATTGAAGATGAAAGATGAGAAAGCTCACTTGCAGGGAACCTGGGTTTTGTTCTCTGTGGGAGGAACATGAACTTTTCCATTCAAGCCAAATTTAATAATGCATTCCAGTGATCTGCATTTTTTTAAGCTCCCACATTTCCTCCCTTCTTGAATACCATATGTTTTCTCCTTCTATTAGAGGTATTTCTGTGGCATCCACTGCCAACAGGTTGAAATCAAAGTGCTACCAAGTTGTCATGGATGAAACATCAATATCTTGAATGTTTGGGAAACAGCCAAATGTTAGTTTAATTAGCTTGAACATATTCAATTTGGACTGACCTTTTCAAAGAGAATCAAAGAAGCACTGAGGTTGGAAGCAACCTCTGGAGATCATCTAGTGCAACCATCTGTTCAAAGCAGAGCCCATTAGATGAACTTGCGTAGGACACCATCCAGTCAGATTTTTTAGTATCTCCCAAAACAATTTACAAAATATTTCTCCTGAACAGGGGCACTACAGTCCTTCAAGAAGTTATTTCAAACCAAATTTTGCAACTTGATTTCCTATGATGCAAAGAAATCTTTTGATAATTTTGTAACATAACACATTTTCCTGAATCCAGAATAGGAAATAAGAAAAACCTTTTTGCACATTTTTAATACTGTTCACTTTTCAAATTTCAATTTCCAATTAAAATTTTAAAAGTTCAGTATATAAATTCCTATCTCTATCTTGTGTAAGCACCTTAAAAGAAAATCAGCACCTCTCCAGTCTCAGGGACTAAGAACAGTTCAGTACCACACTTACCGCTGAGTATTTCCTCTCTTCAGCTCTTTTCCAGACCCCATAAGGAGTTTTGAAAACTCTGGGGACATTTGCTTGCCTACTTAGACTCCAGCACAAGGACACCACTGGATGAAGCAGGACACATCACAGCCTCTGGTGTGTTCCTCCCACCCAGCACTTCTGTTTCTGTCTCCAGCTACTTGCAGAGGCCACTTCAATTCGGCATAGTATTGACATATTTCATAGTATTAAAACCTTCAGTGAAGTTCACAGCACTGACTCATCATAAATACAAACTGTCAGCTCTCTGGTGCTTCCAGATATGCAGCGATCACACACTGGAAACCATTCCCATACATTTACTGGTTAACACTGAGAGTGCACTGCAAAAGATAAGAAGGTACTTTAAAAAAAAAGCCAAACCAAAACACAACTCCTGAAATAATGTTGATTTTATCTCTAAAAGATGTTCATAGGAAAATCTCTATTTTCTAAAAGAGTTCTCTTTTGACCCTGTGATACTGAGTCTGGGTGTAATTTAAAACACCAGATAATTTTTTCTCTCATTTATTCTGAAAAATAAATATTTTTATGTTTCTCATTAAATTTTTTATCAGAAAAGATCATGGAACTGGATCACATAATTCAGATCATTTGGTCAGGAACTTCCATTCTAATTATTCCACCCAGTACAGAAGCTGCAACAGAATTGCAACTGACAAAACACTTACTTGCAAATGTACAGACAGCTCTACTTCAATGAGTTACTTCTTTACACTGAAAAAACATAAAGTTGTCATAACTGAGCAGTTAAAAAAAAAAAAAAGCCTTGCAATCATTTGATGGTTCTTCAGTGAATAACGCAAAAGAGTGTAAAGGACTCAGGCACAGACCTCAGGAAAAAGAGAATTGCATCATTAAAAAACCCCAGCCCAGTTAATTGCAGGTAATGGCTATGAATAATGACAGCAGAGAACACGGAATGACGTAAGGGAGAGAATATTCTGAGTCGTAATTGCTTAAAACAAGCAGTTCAGTCAATCTGAACTTATTTGGAACAGTCTGTCCTGCCCCTTCCAGGGCACTATAAACATTTGGCTAAAGCTGTCAAGGAGCATCTTCCACGTGTTCTGCACCCTGCAAATGGTGGCAGAAGAGCCGTCCCTGCCTGTTCACACCAGGCACATCCTGTACACACATGTGCGCACAAACATGGCTCTGCGACCTAATTTGTCAGAAGAATTAATATTTAATTGTGTAAATAGCACCTAAAAAGAGGAAATGTTCCTTTGGCAGACCAATTCAGCTTCTAGTGCAGCCACTTTAGGTGTCCTCCACAGCTGGGACTGTCTATGTTAAATGCCTTTAAGTCAATAGGAACAAGTTATGGCCACTGCACGGCAGAACAAATGAGAGCTAAGTCACAAGGACAAGGACCACCAAACTAAATATATTTGGGTTTCATCTACCTCACATTAGTCTGTTTTGGAGAATATGTGTACTTGTCACATGTAATTCTCAGTTGCTCCCATTCTGAGATTATTTTCTTCACTGAGGTCCTCAAGACAACGTTCAGTTTGATCTCTACACTTTCAAACATTCATCACCAAGCATGCAAAAGACTCATGACTTACTTGGGCCAAATGGCAAGTTGAGTATATCAGGAATAACACTTCATGTGAGCTTGAAGCATTTATTTTTAAAGCAATACATGAAGATGATCTGTGTGTGCATGATGCCACAAGAGAGCAAGTCAAGGGAAGCAAACAACGAACAAAACACAAGCACTCCTCTGGTGATGTCTCAAAGCAGCAGATTAAAAGCAGCTCCTATTCCCAATGCCGTCTTACCTCAGGAGCTGTGAGCCTTAGAACCAGCAAACAAGAGTCCAAATAGAGCCATGCTGAAAATTGGGTGCTTTCCGCTTCTCAGCATCCTCTTCTCACGTACACAGCCCTGCTCCACGGAGTACAGCCTGATTATTTTTACTACAAGCTCCATTATGTCCCTTAAATGAGAAGAACAACCCCCTCCTTCATAGCCGTGGTTGTGTGAACCAATACTAAAGACTCTCAAACCCTGGGTCCCTCTGGCTGACTGTAGGGAGGAGGCAGAATGTCAGCACATGTCAGTACTGAACTTAGCTTGGCTGGGTCTGAGGCTGGGCCTGCCATGTGGAAAACCCCCAGAGCTCCAGTGGACTCAAATCTTCCTGCCACCACGGATTTACAGAGCTCTTGGGAAACATATTTCTAAGGGAACGCAGGCACTTACAGCATGGAACAGCTGCACCACTTGGAAAATTTATCCCTCCATTTCATGCTTGTTAAGACTTTCTTAGGACATGCACTAGCTGCATGCACTTTTGTAAGCTACTAAACTGTCTAAAATCAGTGGATCAGGACTGTGTAGAGTTCTGCACTGAATTGGTTTGTCTCTGCTGATCAGTACAAGAGAAGGGTAGGGAGATTTTGTCAGGTGTTATAAAATTATGCCCACAAAAGCAGGGCTAAGTACTGCTCTACTAACAGCAGGAGACCATAGCCATGACATTCTTCTCTGAGAAACTGAATAGACATTCAATAAGAACAGACTCATTACTACTGCTGGAACCATTTAAATCCCATCCATCCCCTCTAGGATGTACCCCTTGCTGCTCTAAAACAGGCAGAAGGATTTTTTTTTTTTTAGGAAGCTCTAACTGCTACCCAAGGAATGAGATACAATTTTGCCCCAGGGAGAGCCAGGTGCTTTGCTGCTTGTCTCACAAAAGTTGTACCCTGCAATAGAGCACATTTGTATTGGATTAATGTAATCAAAGGCACCCTGCTGTCTGGTCACTGACCTGTCTGTAAACAACAGATGACATGACGCCGTGAGCCACTATTATATATAATTACCTATTGAGTTGTGACCGTTGTAAAAGAAACAAAACCATATACTTCACCTGCTGCTGTTGGTCTGTTTTCCAGGGAGGAACAAATCCTATAAGCACCTCAACTCTGAGCACCATTTTGTTCTCATCTCCTTCACTGCTCTTCACATCTCTTCCAAATACGTTTGTGCGCTCTTCCTCACATCTGGAACATTTTTCCCAGCTGCACTAGCAAAGTGCAACCTTTCTCTGTTCTTGCTTTAAATCCCTTTTATATCCTTCTCCTGTCCTTCAACCTTTTGATGTCACAGTTTCCTCTCTGTGCCTGCACAAAGGTGAAAGTTGTCAGTAACCTGAATGTATCTCACCTGCCCTGGATTGTACTCACTGTGATAGAGGCCACAGGGACAGACTCCCACCTGATGTAACTCAGGCAGGTCTGCTGGAGTGATACACAACCACGAATCCCAGAAAACATGGTGAATAAGGAACACTTTTCTCTGGTTTCCAGCACAAGAGTAAGATCAGAAGGAACCTGTTACCTGCCAGCTCAAAACCAACAGGAAGCACCTTTCACATCCTGTACGATCCAGCTGTGGAGCTCCTTGCCCCAGGACGCTGCAAATCAAGCAACTGAACACCATAATGAAATAACAAAATCCATCGGGAGTCATGAAATAAAAAGAACTCTCCTCAGGTCCAGACACTGCCCAAGCCTTAAATTGTTGGGAACTGGGAAAATATTCTGGGAATACCACTGCATAGCCACTGTACTCCTCCCTGAGCACTCCCTGCAAGCTGCTTTAAAGGACAGGACAGAGGATGGATGGAGCTGGCGTTTGACCCAGTGAAGGAGATCTTTATGAAGAGCAGTTCCCACCAGCTGAAGACACAGCCTCGTGTCTCACGTGCACGTCTGTACAGCCACATGAGGAGCCCGAGACTCCTACAGGTGTAACAGCAGAGTAACCTCTGCAGAGTATTTGGTGCTCACCAGCAACCAGCTTTTGTAGTCAGTAAACTACAACTGTTGCTGCTGCTACAAGTCAGTAGCTAATACACACTTATCTCTGTTGTTCATCAGGAGCTCAGAAGCTACTGGCACATGATATTCATGCAGATAGATGTTCAAAGAAAAGTTTTCATTACAGGATATGGCAATGAAACAGAAGCCAATTGAACCTGCCAATGACAAGCTGCTTATTTGTCTCGGCTTTCTTTTGATTATCAAACTGAAAGTCTGTGTTGCCAAATTAGACAAAAACTGCTTTCCCTTTAACTTTTGTCAGAAGTCTGATGGAAATCCCCTACAGAAGAAATATGACCAAGTTATATTAGCATTATCCATTCTGCTTCATTTACAAATGCTATCAGGAATACCTATTTACACCAAGACATGTACACATTACATTAAACATTACCTCAATTATTGCTCAGAACAGCTTCGATTGTATACAACTGCAACAGCAAACTCTTATATTAATCATTGAAGAACAGCTCACATACAAATAAAAGTATTTGAAGTCATCACCTGGCCAAGGATAAACACAGCTAGGCAACAGAAGCTTACTGAACTGGGTTTACTAGATACACTTTGGTGTTTATATAAGGATTCTTCTACTAGATAGCAATTTTTTTACTTCCGAGGAATTCCTTGCTTTGGAAATATTTTGGACATCATGGACAAAAGCTTACTGTCTGAGATATTATACAGGAAATAGCATTAAAGAAAAAAGTCAACATTCCAGAATATGTGACTGTAGACTTTATTTTTTAAGTGCCTCATGAAAAACAGTTTGTCATTGGAAATATTTTTAAAGTAATTCAATCACAGACTGCCAAGACTGCACTCCTCATCTTCTTTGCATCAACCACGCTCCAGTTCTTCAAAGATCAGGCAATACCAGCATAAATGACTGTTTTAGACATCTTCTCTGGCTGTCCCTTAAGAGTCACTGGGGATGAATTGAGACAATAGTAAAATGATGCATTTAGCTGCCTGAATCCTTTTGTGAATGAAGAGGGGTCTGATCAATTCCTACTTACCTCAGCACACTTCTGGTTTCAGAATTGACTTTGGGGGTTTCATCACTGCCTACCACAGAACGTTAACGCTTTCATTAATGCTAAATGTAAAGACTTGGAAGAGCTATTCGGAGAGATGCAAACAAGAAGGAACAGATCACTATCAAGCACTGCTGACAGGAAGCCATTAGTACTGGAGATGGTGAAGCTGAACTTATCAGACAGCCAGCATTTGGGAGAGAACATTTCATTAAACAGTGAAACCAAACAGGACCCATTTGCTGTGGAGCAGCACCGCTGAGTGACTCACGCTATTGAAAAATCCTGACTTAACCTGTTGAAGATCTTGGCCCAGCGTTTCCTTTTCAGTATTAATCCGAGCTCGAAACGTGTCAATAAACCTCTCCGCTGCTGCCTGGCAGCTGGATAAGCAGCAGTGCGAGCTCCTGAGTGCTCGCAGGTTACCAGCAGCACGTTAGACCCGGCTGGTGCTGCCGCGGAGCCCCCGCCCTGCGAGCCCTTCCCAGCGCCCGCAGCCCCTCGGCGCCGGCCGCGGGGCTCCGGCAGCTCCACACGCTCCATCCCTGCGCCCATCCCCTCAGCCCACCCCGCCGCACACCCCGACACGGGCCGACGCCCTGCGGAAGCAACAGGGCAGGTCCCCGTCCCTCCAAGCCTCGGGGCGAGGGCCGGTCCCCGGGTAGGCGGGCGCGGCCCCCGGTACTCACATGGTGAGGGGACGAGCGGGGTCTGCTGCCTCCCTCTCCAGCAAAGATGGCTTTCCGGCTCCGAGCCTGCTGCCAACGCTCTCCTACTGTTGTAGGCACTGTTGCTGAGATAGGAGGGGTAGGCACCGGCTACTGAGCATGCCTGCGCCTCATCACAGGGTAGGAAGTAGAGACAAGGCACGGAGGTACCCCCTCCCCACCCTCACGCCAGCCAGGAGAAAGTCCAGGAGTGACGAACGCGAAAGGAGGCTCCGGCTCCTGCCCACATCCCGCCTCCTCCCTGTGCGGAGCAGGCAGCGTCTGGCTGGGTGTGGTCACCGGAGCTCACTCCAGCCAGGACGCTTGCGGGGATTTAGGTGAAAAGGTTTGTGTGTTTCTGCAACCACCTTCTGTCTCCCTCTCCTTTCTAGGAAGAAAGAGGAGGGGAAAAAAAAAAAAAAAAAGAGAGAGAGAAAAAGGAAGAGAATCAAGAAAAGTATTGCTGTTCAATCCATGCTGTCATAGGTGAGCAGCTGTGAATGAAAAAAGGCAAACAGTCAGGATTATAATGCCTACCCACAACACAGAGCAAACCCAGAGTCAGATAAGCTACTGGATCAGCCACTGACTGTGAAATGGTTGTGTCTCCGATGAAGTACCACAGTTGCCAAGTCTCTGCTCCTGGCTTTAACTTCACCTCACACTAAACCTACCCACACATCCAATCTCACCCTTGAATCTCCTTCATTACCATCAGCACTTCTCTTGCATGTCCCACACCCTTGTACAGCACAAAACTTCTTCTGAAGCAGAACATGCTCCTTCACATTGAAACCAAGGCCATCGTATACTCTAAACAGAGGCCAACGAAGAAGAAAGTTTTTCAAGAAGTGGCACTTACCATTGCTGTTCCCAATGATAACTTGTTCCTTAAAACCAGGTATCTGGGTAAGGCAAGGGCTTACCCAGAACACAAAGGAGCTTTTGTAAAACCTCAGATCTCGAGGTGCCTTTTGGAGATAAAGTACAACAGTGTCATCAGATAAAATCTGTGTTTTCTTTTGTGGGAGTCAAAGAAAAAGTGAATTGTTCCTCAAGGTAACAGGCAAAGGCACAGGTACTAGGGGTGTGGAACACATCAGTCCCAATGTCTAAACTTGTGATCAATCAGTTGAGTATTTTCACAGAGAAAGTAACCAGGGAATGTGACAACACCCAGAGTGGTGGCACACAGCCAGACCTTAGGACACTCAGTTATTGCCTAAATCCAGGCTCAGATGCTATCACAGCCTAACTCAGATGCAAAGCCCTTGGCTGTCAGCTCTGAAGGGGATCCAAACCTTTGGGGGAATGGTGGAACTCCTCAGAGTGACTTAGTCCCAGGAACCTCTCTCCCCTCTCCCTCTGCTACCTGAGAGCTTCCTCACAGCATTAAAGTCTCATCATACCTGCTGCCACTGGAGGGTGAGTCTGTCTCTTCTCCTGAAGGTAATTATTTGCATGAATGAATAAATGTCATTTTGAGCCTTACTTTTCTACATTTGACCACATCAGCTTGGCCCTGAGAAACTTTTCCTGATGGAAGTGGAAAAGAAAAAAAAATAATCAAACTGGATTTTCTCTATGTAAAGATGGAGTTTCAGCCAATGCCCTGATGACAGGTAGAAGATTCCTGACTAGCTTTAAGCTTTATCCATCCACAGATTATTTAGCTCAGCACTTCTCATCTGGAATTCCTCCATGAGGAATCTTTCCTCATGAGGATGGTTTACTTTTCAGATCTTTCCTCATGAGGATGGTTTACTTTTCAGATATCCTAGACAAAGATACATTATCTGATACTTCTGTAGCATGCAGCCACACCAACACCCACACATAGGCATACACTGAGTACAGGTAGCACCTGCTACCAGTCTTCAAACCCAAACCACACTCACGTACTGAGGAAATGAAAAGTCATGCAAGACTGAGAGGCCAGGAGCTTCTGGGACAGAAGGACCTGCTATCTAGAGCTTCCTGCCCCCCCTCTATGCTATCACTTCATGTCATTATGGGGAGAGTGGACCAAGTACTGATGCCAGACCAAAGCTCACAAGACTGAAAAAAAAAACCTCCCTGGAAGATTCCAAACCCAACTTATTAAAATGTTTTATTATACATATATGGCCACAGCTTTTTCTAATGTGATACAGGAGAGTTCTCAAAACCAAATTAAATAACATCACTGGACTGTGGCTGCTAAAGAAGAATTTCCTACCAGCTAATGAAGGCATCACCATTCCAGTCCAAGATCGTGATCCTAAAGAAAATTCACAGCTAAACTGGGGGACATTTTCCTTTAGCCCTACATTCCCTCGAGCTCACAGCCTGCCATTAAAGGCTACTAAAGCCTTTGGTGTAAGAAGAGATGCAGAGACACCCTGTGGTGGCAAAATAATATGATCAGAATTAGGTCCAACAGCTGAAATTTCATTTAAGACACAGAAGTGGATCAGAAAATCTGCATCCTGGGGACACCAAGAAATTCTCCCCAAGTTGCTATTCATGCAGTTTCCTCTCTCCAGACATCCTTTCCTGTCTGGCATCTTTTACTCTGTGTGTTTGCATGACAGTCCCTGCCACAAAGATTTTACCTCTTATTCTGTTTGGTACTTTTACTCCAGAGGACAGCAGCTGAATCACGGCTGCAACAGCTGGAGGGATGGTCGTGGAAATGCTCTGCTTTTGGGGAATTGCTTCCTGCATCTTCAGCCTGCCAGTCTTGGCTAGGAAAAACAATCAGTCTTTTGTAAACTGTTGCTGTTGATTTTTTACCCCATCCATAATTCATATTTTGTCTTGCAGTCAAATTTTATACATGAAGGCAATTTCAGAGCCACCAATACACCACTCAGGACGTCCAGAAATGAAAGACCATCAACAATCAGCATCCATGCAGATCAGTTTTGGCATTTGAAGTCTTGCAGGCCTAGACCTTGCTTATAATGAACTAAAGACAACCTACAGATACAACACTGAGGTTCCTGAAAATGTTGTCCATTGGTCACATATGATCTTCATCTGAAGGAAACATATTTTCTCCCAGATCTGCAAGTACAATCCCCATTTTAAATAGTCATTAACAAAACAACTCTATTAGTGCTAGATAAGAAAGGTGAGAATGCTTGGTAGATAGAAAGCAATGGTAGTCAAGTTTCACAAGATTTAAGCAGAGAAGAAAAGCAAGGCAAATAAATCAATTATTCAAATGCTGATTTGGCAACACTTTTAAACAGTTAAACCACAGAAGGATTTCCCCTCACATCATTAGAACTAATTACACTCCACACAGTCAGACAAATTCATCTTTAAAAGAGAAATAAAAAACTATATTTGTTCCAAAGTATAATTTTTCAAAAATTATCTAAAATGCTTAATAAAAGATCTGAGTATCTTCAGTGCTTTGTTACCAATTTTTACATGTTTACTTTCAATGTTACATTTTCTTCTCTTGATCTTTTAGACAAGTGGTATCAGTACTGAAAGACCCTTTTGTGAGAAGCCTTTGAAGCTCCCTCATCAGAAGCAAGGGAGATGTCTGCCTCCCCAGTTGCTGATTTTATTAGACACAGATTGTTCTGTTCTGCAGAGCTTCACCTCAGCATCACTGTATGCTTAGAATGGGTCTGGAACTTGCAGATTATTTTGTCACCAATTAAAACCCGAAGTCTGTAATTTTGAGGTATGTAATTTTCTTTCATTCACAAGTCCTATTCCTTCATATCTTAGTAATTCTTTAGTGACAGTTTCCTTTTACAAGTCAGTGGACTGTTTGTAATTCCATTCATAAATGGTCTTTTCTGCCATTTCTGTGGGAGATACAGGTCTGACTTACCTGGGTTCTGTTAAAACACTGGGTGTCTCATGACCATGCCTGAGCAGCAAGGCGTGCCACTCTGTGTTCCTTCAAGGAATTTACTCTTTCTTGGTAATGTGTATTAACATGCAATTTTGGTACGTGATTCTAACACAACTTAAAACTGTTTCAAGATGTGATCCTGCAAAGCATTTGTAAAGTGAGTCCCAGTCCCTGCCTGTGTGTCCTAAGCTATGAACTAGCTATGGAGAACTGTGCTTAAAAGACTGGGAGGGATTGAGGGGAGAGCAGCATACAAGGAGGGAACAGATGAAGACTAAAAGCAGAAAAGTTCAAAATGATTGTCAATTTTGTTTTTAAGCCCACAAAATTTGCGTGATTTTGTATAGAAGATTTGTGGGAAATATTTTTAGCAAGCAGGAACAAGACAATAGACATAGGAGGAGGTGAACATAACCCTCCAAGTCAAGCAACCAAAAGTTAATGCAATTACCAAGTATCAAATGTAGCACAGAGAGACTAATTCAATCAGAGAGGCCAAAGGGATAATTCTTGGAGACAAAGCATCATAACGCGGAAATGCAGCCTAATCAGCTGCTTTATCAAAAGAAAAAGGAAACAATTTCCAATCCTTAACTAAAATCCCCAGTTGGTTCTTCATCTTTTCAGGGTTCTGGTTTTTGCTTTGCAGTGTTTGTTCCATCTCACATTTGTTTCACTGCTTCTGTTCTCTGCACAAAGCTGCTTCACTGGCTCCTGGCTCTTCGCTTCTATCAAACGAGCCGCCTCTGCTCTTGGTTTAAGCAACCAGCCTAATCAGGAAAGAGAGCATGTGGAGAGAAATATTCATTATGTTTAATGTCCAAGCCTACTTCCCATAATTACGTGGAATAGAGCAAGAATATCCAGAGTCACCTTGTGTCTGCAGGATTTTTCAGAGCAGGTATTTGCTTCATCTGATGGAAAGCAGCTGCTCCCTGATCTCAACTAAACCTCCCGCGTAACCAGGACCCTTTGCAGGTAGAGTAACACATCCAGAGCTCGCCAGGTACAACACAGCAAGGGAGAGGCTTTCCAAAAGCTACTCAGACTTCTGTTTTCGTCTAAACAGGTGGTGTTGTTATGACAGATAAAATGAGCTGGCACAAAGGAAAGAAGGACCTCACAGAAGGAAGCACAGGAGATGGGAAGCACAGCCGAAAAAAGCGAGAGCGGCTATTTAAGAAGAGATTTTCTGGACTGAGCCTCTTCTCTGGGTCTCCTAAGAATAAACTGTAAGTACAGCCTAGATTATATTTTGTATACATTTTTAACCAAAAAATTTTGTAAGTATTTCCAGAGCAGTTCTGGAAGAGCCACAGACACTTGTTACCCCTGCTGTATTAACTGTTTCATAAACAAGGAAATGGTTATGGACCAATTAAACAACTTGACCTAAAAACTAGGAAGTCTCTGGCAGAAGTTGACACAAAATGAACGTCTCCAAACATTGTGTGTCTGTGTGTTTATCTTATAACCATTTCCCAACACTTCCAGTGAGAGGTTCAGAGAGGCAGCTTGTCTGTTCCTCCAGATACACAC